GAGAAAGGCGAGGGAGAGAAGGGAGAGGGAAGATGGGAGAGATTGAGAGATAGGGGCTAGAGTGAGATTATGCACTTGGATCCAGCTCTACCACATTTAAAATAGACAACTGGGTATTTTCTGAAGGTTTCAAAACGGATGAAAAATAGCCATACATCTACAGGAAAATAAGATAAGACAAGACACAACAAATTTTTAGGAAAATTTTAGTAAGCTTACATTTGGAAACTTTGAAGAGTATTAACTATTAATCCACAATTTAACCAATGAGTAAACAAGCAGAGAGAATAAAATGAAATACACCAGTATTAGTAGTAGAGATGGCTATAGCTAAGGGAAACCTTTAACTAAAGAAAAGGGCCAAGTTTGATAGGTATTTAAATTCTACAACCTTTGATTCATGTTTATGGCTATTACATGATTTCTAGGACACAACTGGTTTTGCTGAGGCAGACATGAATTATGTCTAAGAATCTACACCTAAAAAAATGGCACATTGTGAAGAAAATGTTGTTATAACAGACATGACGAGCTTAATGCTTTTTATTCCTCTCCAATACATGACAGACCTTATTGATGATGACTGGGAACATTTTTTTTTTTTTAAAAGATTTTATTTATTTATTTGACAGACAGAGATCACAAGTAGGCAGAGAGGCAGGCAGAGAGAGAGGAAGAGAAGCAGGCCTCCTGCTGAGCAGAGAGCCCGATGCGGGGCTCAATCCCAGGACCCTGGGATCATGACCTGAGCCGAAAGCAGAGGCTTTAACCCACTGAGCCACCCAGGTGCCCCGGAACATTAAGTCTTGAATGAAATAATATATTAAGTGGTTAGCACAATAGTTGGTAGCCTGGAAACTGTCCAAGGAGATAGAGGATGATTGGGATTAAGGTACCGATAATTAAGACAGAGAAGTAGTGGCAGATATAAACTAAACATTTTTTATTTAGGCTACATTAAAATGTAGCCTAATAATCACACTTTAAATTAGCTGAAAGAGGAGTGGAGGTGGGGCAGGGTGCGGGGGGCGGGGTGAGGTGGGGAGGTGGGAATAAAATTAGCTGAAAGAAAATGCAATCTAATGAAAACCACCTTATGTTGGAGATAACTATTGTCTTTTGGACTTAAAAGGAATGATTTTTAGTTTAGTATTATTTTTGTTCCCCCAGGTCTCCACCGTTAGGATTATCAGAAACCCTGCAGAAGGTAAAAGCCTATTTCAAAACTGTACTCATAATTATATTTCCCTCCCCACAAAATGTTTTTTGCCAACGTATCCCTCCAATCATGGCGAATGGCACAAACTTCCATCCCGTTCCAGAGCCACAAATTCATGAGTAATTTTTTTTAATTTTTCATGAGTAATTAAAAAAAAAAAATTTGACAGAGGGAGATCACATGCAGGCAGAGAGAGAGGAGGAAGCAGACTCCCTGCTGAGCAGAGACCGACGCGGGGCTCTGCCTACTTGTGATCTCTGTAAAATAAGTAAGTAAAATCTTAAAAAAAAAAAAAAAAAAGAAAAGAAAAAATTCCCCAAACCCTTTAGCTTTAGATACAACAAAACAACGATGTGGTGAAAAGCTAAAAATAACCTAGTGGTTTTCTCTTGGAAATAAAAGTTTAAAAGCCTAGAATTTACATTCAGGTCAGACCATAATCTACCCCAGAAAACCAAAATCCTTAAGCTGCACATTGCCCTATGGTTTTTTCCCCATCACCACTGCTCCAGACACTAAAAGATTTTGAGAAAAGCCTACGACCATAACTGCTGAATTTTCTGGCTCTCTTCCCTCACTTTACAGAGGAAATCTCACACATCCTGTACCCCATTCCCCCAAACCAAACCAAACCAAACCCCCCCAAAAAAAGAGCTGAGACCAGAATAATGATAGAATTCAGGGAATAGGCAACACACAGTATTATGGAAAAATAAATACAAGTAGTCATTAGACATAAACCACCTGGAGAAAAGGAAACCAGTCCTGCTTTTAAATAATTTTATTTTTTCTAATTTTGTGTTACTTTAATTTCCCATAGCACCTTGGCAATGTTGAAAACAGAAATACAAATACAAGGATGTACTCATTTTAACATAATATGCATGAGCATGTGTCACACCATCTTTTTTTTGGGGGGGGGGCAGTTTGGACAACAGGAACAAACCTAAGAAATGGACAAAATAGAAGCTGGGTAACTGGTTCTGATCCCTGACCCCAAACATTTAATAGGGGTCACTCAAAAGACAAGTAAATCAGGCAAAAAAAAAAAAAAAAAAAAAATCAACATCGATGTAGATGTTTCTTTATCTACACTAATCAGTGTTTTGTACTACAATACTGAAAATAAAACCATTTTATTTTATACACAGCCTGTTGACATCTGAGTTGTACTTTTAGGAACTGTCTACTCAATTCATAAAAAACTGTTAGTTTTTTAAAAATAAAATTATTTAATAATCCGGTGATTTCGAAAGAGAATTTACTTTCAACTTCAACACAAATTCTCTTTCAACTTCTTAAAATGTCTCATTCCGTTAATAAAAACTGAAATGTCTATGTATCTTCTTGGAAGCTCAGACTAGCTAAGTTAGCATACACCAGAAAAGCCTAAAGTTAAATTAATGGCCACCACATTGTAAGGAAATATAAAAAATTAGGAAAAAACCTCATCATACAGTTAAGAATTTATAAAAACCTTCAAAAGGAATACACTGTCCTCTTGCATTTTACCTTTTCTACAAAAACAAACAAAATGGTACTTTTAAAATAGGGTTAATATATCTGCCCAACACAAATATCAAGAGACTTATCCCCAGTGCAGTTTAATTGTGTCAAAGTAAAACCAGTGGACATTTAAGCCAAAAGACTAAATATAAAGGCCATAACTAATAAAGCTTAAAAAAAGCATTCAGTAACTTTTAAATACTATTTTCTGCACCAGCAGATGCAAATACTCCATCATTAAGCCTTTTGCAAAGCCAACCTGGTTATTTAAAAAGGAATGTAAAGCAATATTCAAACTACCTTAATTTTAGGAACCAAAAATAAATTAAAAATCAGCATGTCATTTGAGACCACATGCAAATCGAGCACATAAGATGATAACAATAAATCCTGATTACTGAAAGATCGTCTCTTCTTCCAAAATTCAAGTGAATAAAATTAAGATGGATCAACTCTTTTGAATGCCAGTGTCTATACTTGCAAAAATGGAATCACTCAAGTAGAGACAGGCCCTAGATATCCTGAAAACCTCAATTATCAGGATAGAAAATGGAGACAGGTCTTGCAGTATCTCCAAATACCTTCTCTATGAAGTGCTGAAGTGATGAACTTGTGTGACTCTTATTCTCTTCATGCAATAAGAACTATGACAGAAAACCACCATACTATACACTCATTATCATTTGTATCTACTTTTAGCCTCCAACAACCCAAGGAAATGGTAAATCATAAGGATGAAGAGAAAAATTTGACATTTAAATTCCTCCCTCTATAGAACCAAATAAATAGCTGAACTACAGTAAGCGCCCAACCTGCATCAGTTACAGAGAACTGATGGAAAAAAATCCAAACAGTTTCACACAACTCACAGGCATCATTTTGATACAAACCTTAAATCTGCTGTAATAAAATAAATGCTAAATACATACTGTGAAAAAAAATATATTACACACACACACACACACTCTTCCCTATACATCCCACCAAACTGGGAACTATTAACTGTAATGAGGCAAATTAAATTAAAAACTATGTATTTTATAAGAAATTTTAAAATGATCATGTTTTCAAATTTCTACTTCCAATAACATTTTGGGTAAAAAGGCAAGAACACAGTTGCTTTCTTCAAAACGAAGACTCCTTTCTTCTGTTTCAATTAGAACATTTAGTTTTTAGAAGTTGGGTGGACTAACAGTAAGTCACACAAGCATACAAGTAATACAAGCCTATTTCTGTGACATTGTAAAAAAGTAATGTTTCATTTTTAAGTGCAATAATTAAGTTTATAATCCTTACCAAGTGATTTTTTATAAAATGTTTATTCTCTTAAATCCAATGCATTCACAGAGTGTTAACACTTTAAATGTTTATCATTTCCACCAACTGCAGCATTATCTAAGTAAACCAAAATAAGCACTTTTATCATAGATGTAGTCAATGATTATTAATACTTTTTTTTTTTTAAAAGGACCTAAACTTCCCCCAAATTTCAGCACAGGTAGTTTTATTGTATGTTTCATCTAGTAGATGATTTTTAAAAATAGTGTGTAGAAATGATAGTTTCAAACTGCTTAAATATATTATACCATGTTATCAATCCACCAAATCAAAAGCAATTGCCAAGCTGAATAAGTTACAAAGAAATGATAATCCTGGCTTGTACAGAAATGTGCAGTGTTTAGTTACCTACTAATACAAATCTCCAAAGCTTAACTTAGAGTTGGAAGATGAGTTTCACAGTAATGTAATTTTAACCTCCATTTACATTCATTTTAATATATTACTAAGATGTTTACTCTATGTCACAATGGTGCTTTCCAGTGTTCACAATTTACAGTTTCAATTTGTACATATGTAATTCACTAACATAAGGGACAGTTATGACTATTACAAACTATCCCTAAAAAGAAAACAAAACCCCACCTTACATGGAACTCTGAAAACAGTATGACTTAAAACAGATTAATGCAAAATGGTTTTTAATATTTTAGCCATTTTCTAAACACCAGCATGTAAATTTGCCTACTTAATATGACAGCTACAACTTTATTCACTGAGAAAGTATGTACTATTAATTTTCTTCAACTATCTTTCTCACCTTAAGTCAAAAAATACCATGACTTGCTGGTTCTGTTTCTGTGAATTCCAGACTGTTTTTTTGTTTTTTGTTTTTTTTTTTTTTTGTTTTTTTGGGAGAAAAGGAAGATGATGATAAAATACATTGTAAACAGAAAAAAGTCACCCCCAAATTAAGCCTTTTATATATATATATATATTTTTTACTTCTACACTACTTAACACTTTAAGAAATCAGTTACAATGTTTCATCTTTAACACGAACACAAATAAATTACTGTAGGGTCAGTCTGACCTACCATTCTGGGATCTAAAGTTCTAAATACATGAACAGAAGAGTAAACTACTTCAATGTTCAATCGGAGATTAGAACAGTTATATGATTTGACTAAACTGTCAAGGCAATTAGAAACATACAATTCTGTAAGATGTTGGTTATTTTGCTTTTGGGGGTGGGTAGTCAAAGAACAGAGAATGACAATGAAGTAACAAAAAAACCTGTCTCCTATTTTAGGGGTGGGGTGGGGCAGGAAATCACAAAGCAGTTTAAACCTCTGAAGTCCATTTGACCTATCCACTCAGACCTAAAACAAATTTTTGATTTTTTGAATAACCCCCTTTCTTTCCTTGAGTATCAAACTGATTGACAGTCACATCTCTAAGTACAATCAGAGCTTAACAGCTTGTTGAATGAAATATTAAGGTCAAAAAGACAGACTGAATTTCAAAATGGAAAAAAAAATCTACTCAAGTATTACATTCAGTTTTCAAATCATTTACTAACATGACAACAGATTTGGCTTCAATCACTCTTGCACACACTCACACAACAGGCATCCTAGCCACTGATCTGCTTTGCAACACAAGGCCATATAGGCAGAGATGGCATTCTCCAAGCCAAACTTTAAATAGATTAAAAAAAGTAATTTCTAATTTTACAGAAATGTTTCTTCAAAAAATATTTTCTCTCACTCCCTCATCTCCTGTACTGAAGGATGTGTAATATGTTTTTTTTTTTTCAAGCTAAATCTGAACCCTCAAAATTGATTCTAGGCAGAAGATCTCTGCAAATTAAAATCAAAAACAAAAATAGAAAAATTATATTTTTATATATGTATACATATATATATATATATTTATACTGATTGGAATCCTCCAGCATTTTAAAATCACTTTAGAGATGAATTTTGGGATTCTACTGCTTACAACTCCAAAATCCATAATGATTTAAAGGACAGACACTTTTCTCCTGTTTCCTTCCTGGCTACCCCCTCCCCTCCAGAACAGTTCAGTATAGCCACGGCTCAAGTTTAATGGGAAGAGAGAGAAGTTTTTGAATAGTTTTTTGTTTGTTTCTTTACTTTGGTGATCTGGGTGGCACATATTGCTCTTTGCCATTACGTCGAGTCACTCCCTGAGGTATAGCCCTATGGCCAAACTGGCGTCTCTGTTCCCTGATTTTTCCAGCTGCTCCCCTGGGAATGGTATTGCCTCGGAAGCTAGAATACTCCTTACTAGCCCTTGCTTCTGGCTTCTCATGTGATTTCTCAATGGACTTCTCAGGAGCTCCATTCTCTTCGTTTTTGGTGGGAGAGGCTACATTGGAGCGAAGTTCTCGCAGTGGCTGCACAAGAACTGGAGATGGCTCTTTAGGGGGCTTCTGGCACACTTCAGCATAACTTAGCTTTCGGGGTTCCTTTGAAGTGAAGATAAAAAAAATTTATGGTACATTCTTTAAATAAAGTACAAAAAGGATAGTGTGATCCACAAGAAAATCAGTAAGCTATCTTCTAGAAAAGGGAAATAGGCATTCTCATATACACTATTATTAAAGTGTATTATAGTAATCTTAAACATTTTTTTTTGGCTGAAATAATAAAAAGCCTTGGCAATTTATATATGATACAATAATGTCACCTGAGGAATTTATCTAAAAGATGCTCATGTCAGCATTGCTTATGGTGATGAAAAAACTGCAAACAACCTAAACGTCTAACAAGGAAGGACAGATTAAGTAAATAATGTACATTCATCTGATGAAATAAAATGATTCTATTCTCTCTTCCATGGCTACAAAGAACCCTGAGATGGATTTCACAAGACTCTCAACAGAGCAGCTGGGAACAAATAATGTATTAATAGAAGACTATTTAAAAGTTTTAATTACCTCATGTGGAAAAAAAGGACAACAGGGGCCTTATGTGAATGGGATCAAGCAAGTGAAAAGTATTTAGCACTGGTCTTAGCATATAGCAGGCATTCAGTAATTGGTAGCTGCCATTGTACTATTATTAAGTAAGAAAATAAAATGTCCTTAACCTAGAAAAAAGGAACTATACCAAAATGCAATTAGTTATATTAATGAATGAAAAGATTAAATGTTGTGTTTTTGCCCTGCTTTTTTATTTCCCTAATTATAAAAATGATTTCTGCAAACTGATTAATAATGGAAGTAGCCCTAAGACTTGTTAAACATTATTAAAAAAGGAATTTCAAAGGGGCTCAGACCCTCTTTAGCCCAAAAATAATACCTCATCATAACCTGAGTAAGAAAGAAGTTTCACTTAGCTAGAAGGTGATCAGAAAAAAAGCCATTAATGGGGCACCTGGGTGGCTCTATCAGTTAAGCAGCTACCTTTGGCTTGGGTTATGATCACAGGGTCCTGTGATCGAGCACTGCATTGGGCTCCCTCTTCAGTGGAGAGCCTGCTTCTCCCTCTCCCTCTGCCTACTGCTCTGCCTACTTGTACTCTCTATCTCTCTGTCAAATAAATAAATAAAATCTTAAAAAAAAAAAAAAGGCCATTAAAAAAACAAAACAAAATAGAACAGAATGGGGGCAACCTGGGTGGCTCAGTTGGTTGGGCATCTGCCTCTGGCTCAGGTCATGACCCAGAGTTGTGGGATGGAGTGCTGCATGGGGTTTCCTACACAGCTGAAGCAGGGAGCCTGCTTCTCCCTCTCCCCAACTCATACTCTTTCTTGCTCAAATAAATAAAATCTTAAAACAACAACAACAACAACAACAAAAACCCAGAATGAACAGTTACTTCTTCACTATCTCAACATGGCTAAAATTTCCCATTTCTTCACAGTGACTTTAAACTTCCTGAGTTTCATTTGAGGCCTGCAGCCTCAATTTGGGCTATTTCCAAATGATTCTGCTCTATAAAGACTTATGCGAAAACAAAACAAAACAAAAAACAAACCACTTATTATTTAGCCAATTACTCCCCCCCCTCAATATTAAATTCATCAAGTTACCTGTAGGGCCACAGCTACAGGTGCATTTATGTTACTATTACATGGTGAAGTACTATTTGTCCTTGATGGCTTTGCACTACTTGGGGAAGAAACTGGTATAGTTGTCTGGTTGAGAACATCCTTTTGAACAGTGGAATCCTCTACTGGATCCTTTTCTTGCTGAGTTGTGCTAAGGAAAAGAGAACTTGACATTAGACTTAGTACAGCACAAACAAAGAGCTGAAAAAATAATCAGAAGAGAAAGTAAGCTTTTTTTTTTTTTAAGATTTTATTTATTTGACACAGAGAGAAAGAGCGAGAAGCAGGCTCCCTGCTGAGCAGAGAGCCCCATGCGGGGCTCAATCCCAGGACCCCGAGATCATGACCTGAGCCAAAGGCAGAGGCTTACCCCACTGAGCCACCAAGGCGCCCCGAGAAAGTAATCTTTTTTTTTTTTAAAGATTTTTTTAATTTATTTGACACAGAGAGAGAGATCACAAGTAGTCAGAGAGGCAGGCAGAGAGAGAGAGGGGAGGAAGCAGGTCCCCTGCGGAGCAGAGAGCCTGCCGAGGGGCTCGATCCCAGGACCCTGGGATCATGACCTGAGCCGAAGGCAGAGGATTTAACCCACTGAGCCACCCAGGTGCCCCCCGAGAAAGTAATCTTAATGTAGAAGATCTTCTATACTGAAACTGTACCTTAATGCAGGAAGCTCAGCTGTACATGGAGGACTGGTACTCATACTGAGTTGCTGGGCAGAGGTGCAGTCTGTCTGTTCAGCCTCTGCAGGCACTGGACAACTAACTCTCAAGTCTTCATTATCCTTAAAGTAAAAACATATTTCAAAATTAACTCATATAGACACTTCTCCAAAGAAGATGTCCAAATGGGCCAATAAACGCTTGTAAAGATGTTTAACCATCATCAGTCATTAGGGAAATGCAAATTCAAACCACAATGAGAAATCACTTTGCACTCATTAGGGTGGCTATAACTAATAAGGAACCAATGTTTGTGATGATATAGAGACATCAGAACTCTCATACACTGAAAGCGGTAATGCAAAATGGTGCATTTTGGAAAACAGTCTGGTAGTTCTTCAAAAAGTTAAACAGTTACCATATGACCCAACAGTATATACCCAAGAGAAGATATGTCTACACACAGATGTTCATAGTAGCATTATTCATAGTAGCCAAAAAACCGTGAACAACCTAAACAGTCATCAACTGGTGAACAGATAAACAAAATGTGGTATATCATATAATGGAATGTTACTGTGCAATAAAAGGAACGAAGTACTGGTACACACTACCATAATGGATGAACCTTGAGAACATCATGGTAAGTGAGCCAGTCACAAAAAGACAAATAATACATGATTCCACTTATGCAAGTTACCCAGAGTACTCACATTTATATAGATAAAGTAGAATGGTGGCTGCCAGTGGCTGAGGGAAGAGGTAATGGGTAATGGGAGTCACCGTGTAATGGGTATAACATTTTACTTATTATTATTTTTTTTAAAGAATTTTTATTTTTTTATTTGACAGAGAGAGACAGCAAGAGAGGGAACACGAGCAGGGAGAGTGAGTGAGGGAGAAGCAGGCTGCCCACCGAGCGGGGAACCCGATGTGGGGCTCAATCCCAGGACCCCAGGATCATGACCCGAGCCGAAGGCAGACGCTTAATGACTGAGCCACCCAGGTGCCCTGACTTTATTATTATTTTTCAAAGATCTTGTGTTTTAAGAAATCTCTACACCCAATGTGGGGCCTGAACTCACAACCCAGAGACCAAGAGTTGCATGCTCTACCAAATGAGCTAGCCAGGTGTGCCCTATGCATTTTATATTTACAAGATAAAAAGTTCTGGAGATTAGATGTACAACATTGTGAATGTATTTAGCACAACAGAACTGCACACACTGAACAATGTTTAAGATAGTACATTTTTTAGAAGGGGCAGAGGGAGAGAATCTCAAGCAGACACCACACTGTTTTACCACCCTGAGGGATTAGGACAAAAGCTGAAATCAAGAGTTGGATGCTTAATTGACTAAACCACCCAGGCAGCCTTTAAGTTGGTATATTTTATATTACGTGCAATTTACCATACTTAAAAAAATTATTTTTATTATTTTATTTCAGATAGAGCAAGAGAAAGAGCTTAAGGTTGGGGGGGGGTAGAGTGGCACAGAGGAGAGGGAGAAGCAGGCTCACCACTAAGCAGGGAGTCCAATGTGGGGCCTGATCCCAGGACCCCAGGATCATAACCTGAGCTGAAGGCAGATGCTTAACTGACTGAGCCACCCAGGCGCCCCTTAACACAATTTTAAAAGTAAAACAAAAAAACAAAACAAAACAAAACAAAACAAAAAAGCAAAACCAACAATAGCAAAGGATGCCTGAGTAGCTCAGTCGGTTAAGCATTTGCCTTGGCTTGTGTCATGACCCCAGAATCCTGGGACAGAGTCCTGCACTGAGATCCTTGCTCAGTAGGAGGCTGCTTTTCCCTCTGTCCCTCCCCCTTGCTCACGCTCTCTCTCTCTAACACACACACCCATTAAAAAAACAAAAACAAAAACTAATAGCAAGCCCTGGATATTAAAATCAATTGATGAAATACAAATTTCACTAAGTTTGTTTGTTTATTTAAAAGATTTTATTTATTTGACGGAGATCCCAAGTAGGCAGAGAGGCAGGCAGAGAGAAAGAGAGGGGGAAGCAGGCTCCCCACTGAGCAGAGAGCCCGATGTGGGGCTCGATATCCCAGGACCCTGGGATCACGACCCAAGCTGAAGGAAGAGGCTTTAATCCACTGAGCCACCCAGGTGCCCCCCGCCGCCCCGCACTTTTTTTAAAGATTTTATTTGAGACAGTGAGCGAGCATGAGTGGGGGAGGGGAGGGATGCAGATAGGCAAAAGGAGAGGGCGAGGTAGATGTCCCACTGAGCAGGGAGCTTAATCCTAGGACCCCAGGATCATGACCTGAGCTGAAGGCAGACATTTAACCAACTGAGCCTCCCAAGCACCCCCAAATTTCAGTAGGTTTAAAGGTAATATTCAGAAAAACTTTGTGGAATTACAGACAAGTATAAAAATAAAAATTAGGAAGGCCAGAACAAAATCAGAGGTTCGACCTACAAGGTGCCATATCAAGTATCAAATTAAGAGTTCAAGGAAGGGGGCGCCTGGGTGGCTCAGTGGGTTGAGCTTCTGCCTTCGGCTCAGGTCATGAACTCAGGGTCCTGGGATAGAGTCCTGCATCGGCCTCTCTGCTCAGTGGGGAGCCTGCTTCCCCCCTCACTCTCTGTCTGCCTCTCTGCCTACTTGTGATCTGTCAAATAAATTAAAAAACAAACAAACAAAAAAACCCCACAAGAGTTTAAGGAAGGGAAGTGAAGAATTTAAAATGAAGAATTTATCAAAGAGATAATATAGGAAAATTTTCTAGCATGTAAGGACGAGTTTCCAGACTGAAAAGGTCTACCAAGTATCCAGTGCAATGAATTAATAAAGAGCCCTAGCAAGATACACCTTCATGACATTTCAAAGAATATCAGGGATAAATAAAGATCCTACAAGCCTTCAGAGAGGGGGAAAAAGAGGTCATAGAAGGATCAGAACAAGAGGTTTCTAAAAAGGATCTCTGGAAGCCAGATTGTTTCCTAAGCAAGGTATAAAAAAGAACAAATCATGAAAGAAGGACTGATAAATAGGACCATACTAAAATAAGAACTTGTTTTCACTCACAAATACTAAACACTGAAAACAAACCATAATTAGTAATATACATCATTTACAAAGGATTAGTATCCAAAATAAATTTAAAAATTCCATGAATCTGTAAGATAAGTGATAACCCAACAGAAAAAAAAGGTGCCAAATACTTGACACTTTACAAAGAGAAATGCAAATGGCCAATACAACATGAAAAGGTAAGTTGACCTCAACTGTAATTAAATTTTAGATGCCCTATCCCTTAGCAATTCCACGATGTATATACCTAAAAACAAGGTGTATGTGTAGTTTGAACATACACAGAACTGCTTATGTAAAAAAAAACCCCAAAACAAAAAAAACCCCCAACATAACAGCTCAAGTGCCCATCAACAGTAAAATAAGAATATCCTTCCCTCCTTCCCTTCCTTTCTTCCTTCCTTCCTTTCTTCCTTTCACAAGTAGGCAGAGAAGCCAGCAGAGAGAGAGAGGGAAGCAGGCTCTCAGATGAGCAGAGATCCTGATGCGGGGCTCAATCCCAGGACCCTGAGATCATGACTTGAGCCGAAGGCAGAGGCTTAACCCAGTGAGCCTCCCAGGCGCCCCCAAATAAGAATGTTCTTACAAAAGAATACACATTGTAAAATGAACTACTTGTATCAACACCGATGAATTTCACACAATACATAATGAAAGAAATAAGAGAATACATATTTCATTTATGTTGTATTCAAGAACAAGCACACTGAACAGTATACTCTCTATATTAGGGGTTGACAAACCAAGGCCTGCTGGCCAAATCCAGCCTCTGAGTTTTGTTGCTAAGGCCTATGTGCTAAGAGTGGTTTTTAAGTTTTTAGCATGTGGCCCACAAGCCTAAAATATTCACGATCCAGACCTATTTTACAGAAAAAGTTTCCCAAGCCGGAATGGTAAAATTATAAAGAAAAGCAAGAAAATTATTATTGCCAAGTCAGGATGTTTCCTCTGACGGGGAGGAAGGGAAGAAATAGGAGGAATTGTAAAAAGGAAGGGGAGACACATGGCATTGTTCAGATATTTGTGATGTTTACTGTCCACAACCGTGAGTTGAGATCACAAGGGGAGATACACTTTATTATTCTTCTTTAAAAATGTATGTACGTGTGAATCACAATACACCAAATGGGAGAAGCCATCAACTGTAAAACGCACCATTATTTTATGTATTACTAAGAAAAAACACTGCCACTTAAACAAGGGTAATGTTTAATCACAGATTTTCGAAGGTGGAAAAAATGTCTAAAGGTTGATGAAATTAACTACAATATTGCACAATTTTGTAAACAGGGGAAGACAAAGAAATACTTTCAAAATTCCATGGGAAAATGATTTCTATTGCAGATCTCTACAGAAATAAGCTATTGATCCAATGTGAAAACAAAAACATTTTTGGAATGCAAGATCTCAAGAAATTTATACTAAAAACCACTAATTCAGGAAGCTCAGGAAGATGTGACCTACCATAAAAAAGGAAAGTAAGGGGCGCCTGGGTGGCTCAGTGGGTTAAGCCTCTGCCTTCGGCTCAGGTCATGATCTCAGGGTCCTGGGATTGAGCCCCGCATCGGGCTCTCTGCTTGGCAGGGAACCTGCTTCCCTCCCTCTCTCTGCCTGCCTCTCTGCCTACTTGCAATCTTTCTCTCTCTGTCAAATAAATAAATAAAATCTTAAAAAAAAAAAAAAAAAGGAAAGTAAAACAAGAATAAGAAAGAGAGAGGATTCAACAAAAGAAAGTAAGGAAAATTCTCACGATGATGGTAAAGTCAAGTCCCAGCTACACAACTGTGCAGCAAGCCACTGAGAGTGCAAGGAGAAATAATGGCAGTATACTGTGAGGTTCAGTTCAGGCGGGGGGTGGGGGGAGTAGTATCAAGATGTGACTTACAAATGATGGCATATCTTAATCTAACTGGCAATACTTTTTACCTTTTTTAAAAGGCTTTATTTATTTGAGAGAAAGAGAGAGAGCGAGAACGAGGAAGGAGGAGTGGCACAGAGACAACTAGACTCCCTGTCTGAGCAGGGAGCCTGACATGGGGGAGGGCAGTGCAGCTGGATCCCAGGATCCTGAGATGACCTGAGCTGAAGGCTTAACCAATTGAGCCATCCAGGCACTTTTTTTTTTGTTTTATTTTGGTTTTTTTTTTTAAGATTTTATTTATTTATTTGAGAGAGAGAAAGTGAGAAAGAGCATGAGAGGGGAGAAGGTCAGAGGGAGAAGCAGACTCCCCGTGGAGCCGGGAGCCCACTGTGGGACTCGATCCCAGGACTCTGGGATCATGACCTGAGCCGAAGGCAGTTGCTTAACCAACTGCACCACCCAGGCACCCAGCCCTGCTTTTTACTTTCTTTTTTTTTTAAGATTTCATTTATTTATTTGACAGAGATCACAAGTAGGCAGAGATGCAGGCAGAGAGAGAGGAGGAAGCAGGCTCCCTGCTGAGCGAAGAGCCCGACCAGGGGCTTGATCCCAGGACCCCGAGATCATGACCTGAGCCGAAGGCAGGTGCCCCTGCTTTTTCCTTTCTTAATGATACTAAATCAATAGGGAACCTTATAATGGATGGTATCCTAGAAACAATGGAGTAAAATATACAGGAAGGGTAAGAAAAGTATGCTAGCTTAAGAGAGCTAAATCCTTAGGTTCTAAATGGAAAGTTAATAGACAACGTTGAAACTTGTAAAGTCAAGAAATAAAGTATACTGTGAGCATGCAACTCGATCTCGGGATTGTGAGTTCAAGCCCTACATTGGGTGCAGAGATTACTTAAAAAAAAAAGAAAAAAGGGGGCACCTGGGTGGCTTGAGGCCTCTGCCTCCGGCTCAGGTCATGATCCCAGGTCCTGGGATCGAGCCCCACATTGGGCTCTCTGCTCAGCGGGGAGCCTGCTTCCTCCTCTCTCTCTGCCTGCCTCTCTGCCTACTTTTGATCTCTGTCAAATAAATAAATAAAATCTTAAAAAAAAAAAAGAAAAAAAAAGGAGAAAGAAAAAGGGAAAGGGAAAGGAAAAGAAAAAGAAATAGTAGATAACCATTTAATTAGAAATATAGGGGGAAAACAAGAGAAAAGGCTAGCCAAAATGGCTGCACAGGACTACTATTTTTCACTATGAGCCTAATTGTACCATGTGTATGTCCTATAAAATTAAAGTAAAAATTGAATTAAGAAAAAAAGGGAAGAAAATGAGAAAAATATGTTGGGTGTAGTCTTAGTACAGGAAGAGGTCTACACTCAAAAATATTTTAGGAGGGGGACCTATCCTAAAGGTTGATTTCCTAGGTCTTTGATATCAACTCTCCATTACTTGAAAGCCTGAATTTTACCAAACTTGAAATTTATTTACATCACTAATTATAGGCTTAAGCGCAAACAACACTTTCCAGCAGTTTGCATTAATTGGTTCTACCAAGATGAGTTGCCTAATACCAAAGACTTGCAAAAGTGAAGAAACACTTTATTTTTTTGAACTGGTTTAATTTTTATTTATTTTATTTTAAATTAACATATAATGTATTATTTGTTTCAAGGGTACAGGTCTGTGATTCATCAGTCTTACACAACACCCAGTGCTTTACTGGCCTGTGTAGCTTCATCATAAATCTTTTTATAATACTCAAAGTAAGCTAACAATCCCATGAATAAAAAGCATGATAGAAATAAATATTAAGTGCAAATAAAATTTCAAATAATAACTGCAAACAAAGGCTAGCTATGGTCCCACAAGTAAAAGATGGATGCATCAGTATTTACCTTTTCTTTGTAGACACCTTTAACAACATCAGACATCCTACTCTCCAAAACAAGTTCACCTGGAGTTCTCGATGAACTTCCAGGTAAAGGAGGAAAATTTGAGGCTAGTAAGTCAAACTTTGGTGTTGGAGCCTTTGCTTCAGCTGATGAAGACGGGGGTCTCTAAAACACACAAATCATAAAACAGATCATAAGCCAATCTCATTCCCTAATCCTGTACCACCGAAGCTGAGAGCTGTAAGGAAACAAAACTAACTCTATACTAACGCACAGAATTGTTTGTTCTCCTATAAATTCCTGGCTTCTCCTCTCAGTTGAGCTTTTATTTATTTTTTTAATCAATCCTACTTACCTTTCATCAACTGCCTCTCCTCTTTTTTTATTTTTTGCAAACTGTGACACACTCCTTAAGCCTGCTAACCAAATCTCCTATTTGTTTTCTAAGTTGTTATTCCCTTTCCAGAACAAAAATAAAAACCCTTGTGTGACCTAAATTTGCCATCAGCTTTTCTCCTTCCATATAGTCTCACAAGAATATCCTTCCTTGAAAAATCTCCTGATCTCCCTTTCTGCTCACCATTCTATTCCCTGACAAGCCTCTCACTTGTACTTCCTCACCTCTGCAGTCACCACTAAAACTGCGCTGACCAGTCACCAATGCCTTCCACAATGCAATATCTGACAGACTTTTTTTCCCCCAACCTCATACAGAACCTGGCACAGTAAACATTCTTTCCTTTGGGAGCTCATTCCTCCCTTAGCATCTGTGATAACTTTTTTTTTTTAAAGATTTTATTTATTTATTTATTTACTTATTTATTTAAAGATTTTATTTATTTATTTGTCAGAGAGAGAGAGAGGGAGAGAGAGTGAGCACAGGCAGACAGAATGGCAGGCAGAGGCAGAGGGAGAAGCAGGCTCCCTGACGAGCAAGGAGCCCGATGTGGGACTCGATCCCAGCACGCTGGGATCATGACCTGAGCCGAAGGCAGCCGCCCAACCAACTGAGCCACCCAGGCGTCCCAAGATTTTATTTATTTATTTGACAGACAGAGATTACAAGTAGGCAGAGAGGCAGGCAGAGAGAGGAGGAAGCAGGCTCCCCGCTGAGCAGAGCGCCGGATGTGGGGCTCCATCCCAGCACCCTGGGATCATGACCTGAGCCGAAGGCAGAGGCTTTAACCCACTGAGCCACCCAGGCGCCCCTCTGTGATACCTCTTTATCTTGATTTTCAGATCTCATAATCAGGTGCTTGTGGCTCTCTACCTACACCCTTTGACAGTTTCAGTTTTTATGTGGTTACTCCTCTTTTCACTTCCATACTCTCCCTATGTGATAGCCACTATTCATGCCTTCAACTACTGACCTATATGCAAACAACCTTTTTCACTTTTGGTGACTTTCTGCCTACACACCACTGGAAATTTGCCAAAACTCACTGAATTTTACACTTTCAATACTGTCAGCCCAGACCTTTACCTGAAACCTAGACATCCATTTGCCTATCAGCACTCTCAGATTTTGCTTGGATACAGCAAACGACATACTAAGTAATCTTATTCTTCAGCTCAAAGCTACTTTGTTGCCAAAGTTCCATTCTTGGCCACTTTATTTAAATCACTTACTTTACAGAGTCCCTTGAATGATTTCATCTACTTTTATGATTTCAATTACTTTCTGTAAGCTTACAAATACTAAATTTTATCTCTAGCTAAAATCTCCTTCCTGTACAAAGGCACTTCCACTCTGCCTTTCCTATTGGAAAGCATGCTTGTCTCCTTTTTCTTCACTCCTTCAGTCCTCAATCCTTAATGTATTTTCAACATATTATACGGACTTCAAAACTAATCTCTTCTCTTCTCAATTGTTAAAGGCCACTTGGGGATTCATGTAGATTGCTGCAATGGTATCCTAAAAAAGTTGTTGCCATGTCATGGGGGCCCCTGGTACAGAAAGCTATAAATGAAAAACAATACTATTTTAAAAGACTCACAGTTTGCTCTAAGGACCATTCTCTGTGTTACAATGCAATATGTTTTCTTCTTTGAAAATGCTTATCTTTTCACTACTTATATATGTAGCCTACATGCTATATGTATACTAATATGTATATATAATTCACTACTTATACATGTAAAAACAAGTATTACACTATAATTTAGGATTTATCTGTAAATTCTAGGCAGGGTTTTTTTGAAACCTCTGTGGGTTCCTTCATCATTCTGATATCTCAATTCCTTTTGTTTTCAGTTAAGAGATGGCAAACATTCACCATGAACAAACCACAAAAAAAAAAAACAAACATGATTAATTTGAAGCTAGATAAGTCAAAATTCAAATAAAAACATATTTAGAACTATAAAAGTTTTTTAATCTATAAGCAGTTTTATAAGATTAGTGGATAGAAGAATAAATAGTAGGTAGAAAATTGTCCCCACCAACTAACAATAGCTTAAGTTTCCCACACCATCCAGAGAGCTTTGTAAGTGAACGATAAGCTTTATCAGCTTGGCAAAAAGTCCTATATTTATAGGACTATTGATAAATAGGAACTTTTGTTCAATGTCTGATGGAGTGTAAATTGGCACAACCCCTATAGAAAGCTGTGGGCTGGTAGCAACTTACTGAATTATGACCCAGAAATCCCATTCTAGGGATTCTCCTTCAGGTATTATTAAATACATAGGAAATGATGGTTGTATGAAGTTATTATAGCACTGTTGGTAAGACTGAAAGACTGAAAGTATTTAAAATGTCCATTAATAATGTAAACAACAAAATGGGCGCCTGGGTGGCTCAGTGGGTTAGGCCGCTGCCTTCGGTTCAGGTCATGATCTCAGGTTCCTAGGATCGAGTCCCGCATCGGGCTCTCTGCTCGGCAGGGAGCCTGCTTCCCTCTCTCTCTCTCTCTGCCTGCCTCTCCGTCTACTTGTGATCTCTCTCTGTCAAATAAATAAATAAAATCTTAAAAAAAAATGTAAACAACTTTTCACTGAATATTTTCATTTTTAAATTTTTAAACCATGTGACTATATCAGGTATTCAAGTAATTTTTTAAAAACACAAGAAACAGGGGTGCCTGGGTGGCTCAGTGGGTTAATCCTCTGCCTTCTGCTCAGGCCCTGATCCCAAGGTCCTGGGATCGAGCCCCACATCAGGCTCTCTGCTCAGCAGGAAGCCTACTTCCCTGTCTCTCTCTGCCTGCCTCTCTGCCTACTTGTGACCTCTCTCTGTGTCAAATAAATAAATACAATCTTAATAAATAAAAATAAAAACACAAGAAACATAGATCAAATCCCTAACTATACATGTGCTTTAAGGGTGGGGAATGGTAGTAGTAGTAGTGGATATTTTAGGGTCAAAGCACAGGTTCTATTTACCTTTGCCTAATACTATAATCAGTAAGACAAAACCCCGGAAAGACCAACCACAAGCCAATGCCATACTAAATCACAAAAGAAAAAAAAATAAATAGTTGTAATAAAGGTAAAAAATACTTACCTGGACTCTCTCATCTTCTCGTCGTCTTCGACCTCTGAAAAGAGTTCTCCTTTTAACAATGATAAAAAAGTTGGGGATGATGGGAGGGACAACTCATAAGTTTCTTCAAATATATAATACACTCTATCAATGATGGGTGAATTTCTAGTTTAGCTAACTATACTTTGTATATCTTCACTATTAAGAGATGAATATATATTCTTCTGAAGGGATCCTAAACTAATCTACCAAAAACTTCATCTGTTACCACCATCACCACTAAGTAAGTTGGGCCCACTTTTACTAAGTAGCGCTCCTTCCGCACCAGAAGTATATCAAGGTTTTTTGTTTCATTTCGGCAGAGTAGGCGGTAAGGTATAACCCCATTTCCCCAGCTACGAGTTGTAAGAAATTAAACTAGAATGCAGATAGGATCTGGTCTTTCTAAGTTATTCTTTCTTCAGTAAACCATAAAGAACTTCAGAGTAACTTTTAATACACCTCTGATTCAGCTATATTCTAATGGGCACTATACATTTCTTAATAATTATTAAAACTATTAACCCATATTATATGAACACTGTATTCATTTAGCATAACCATACACTAATAATTTAAACAAAAAATAACCACTAGATCATGTTCTTCAAATATTCACATTATAAGCAAAAAATTTTCATATACCTTATCCGTATTTGTTACCGTATTTCCTTACCTGCCCCTACCATAGTCCCCATTCTGTTCCATCTGTATAGTAGGAGTTTCTTTTGCAAGGTAGCTTTGCTCCTGATGCCCTGTTACTGTAGGGTTATGCCGCTCAGTTGTAAAGTTCCTTGAACCAGATCTGTTTAATGGTCCATCCCCCAGTGACACGGACCCCTCTGTCGAGTGTTCTGAACCACTCGATGACCTGAAATGAGGCTTCACACTATAAGAAATATAAGATCACATACATGACAGGATAAATGAAGACAGAAAGAAAATCTTTCCCCTTAATGGTAAAAGTACATTTAAAGATTTTTTTTTTTTTTAATTTATTTGACAGACAGAGATCACAAGTAGGCAGAGGCAGGCAGAGAGAGAGGGAAGCAGGCTTCCCGCTGAGCAGAGAGCTGGATGTGGGGCTCGATCCCAGGACCCTGAGATCATGACCTGAGCTGAAGGCAGATGCTTTAACCCACTGAGCCACCCAGGTGCCCTGGTAAAAAGTACATTTAAAGGGACAAGTTAAAAATTGCCTTCTACTGTATTCTAGTTTCCACAAATTAAGGTACACATAAAAGTATCACATTATAAAAATGTAAACTCTTTTTGTCTGAGATTTTTACATTTAAAAAAGTTATTTGGAGGGGTGTCTGGGTGGCTCAGTCATTGATCATCTACCTTCGGCTCAGGTTATGATCCCAGGGTCCTGGGATTGAGCCCCATATCGGGTTGCCTGCTCAACAGGAAGCCTGCTTCTCCCTCTCCGACTCCCCCCGCTCTCTGTCAAATAAATAAATAAAATAAATAAAATCTTAAAAAAATAAAAAAGTTGTTTGGAGCTATTTGGGGTAAAATCCAAAGTTCTTCAAGATAAAGCTACCTCTATTTCGATACTCAAAATACAACTAGGATTTTAGCTAATTTAACACCAGTAGCAGTCTTGACACACCTAAATCAGCCAGGCTTTAAGCTTATTAAAGAATTTATGCCATACATTCTCAATGGGGCAACATCACCCCTAGTGGGAGTAAAAAAGGTTCCTGGGGTGGGGGGTGGGGCTGAGAAGGAACAACAAAAAAAATCCCAATCTTTCTTTTATGCATAGAGCACAGATATACATATATTATATAAATACATATAACACATCTTCAATACTAAATTTTCATAGGGAAAAATTGGGGTGATGTCTAAAAAAAATGGGGGGATGTCACTCTTTAGGGGAGTGACAACGAAAACCAGAGAAACAGTGCACTATATTAAAATCCCACCTTCTTACTAAATCAATTGTTCAAAGAGCCTCTGTAAAAAAAAAAAAACAAAACAACAACTAGGAAGGATAATGCAACTAATAGCCTGGCATGGCTTCATGAATTAGGTATAGAATCTAGTTAAAAAAAAAAAAACCCAAAACTATAAACAAGGGTAGCTTTTATCTTGGATGACCGGTATAAGCACCCAATTCTCTAACAATGTGTAAGCAGATGAAGCTAGGGTAGGGGGTAAAGGAGGCTACAGTTAAATCAACAATGAAAACACCTGAAGTAAGCCCAAGCAACTGAGGACCTTGGCTCCACAAGAGATTATACAGGGAAGTATAAGATTTATATTTGGCCCCTTGTGTTTAAAAATTCCACTTTTACAGTCTATTTTCCTGGTTATAAATTTATATCAACAAACACATTGCCAGTTCCTGGTTCTCTGAATTTGGATTTAAAACTTCAAAATAATTATAACCCCAACAATTAAACATGAATTTCAACAATATCTACAGCTACCCTATTCTTTACAGAAAATAAAAAAATTAGGTTACTGCCATTAAAACTTAAATATAAAAACCAGGAGACAAAGTTGGGTTGAATTTCATTAAGATTATATGAAATAATTACTTTATGTCACAAAATAGATTTTAATATTTTTAAGATTTTTGTTTATTTATTTGACAGCGCCAGAGAGCACAAGTGGAGGTGGGGTGGGGAGGACATGCTACAGCAGAGGGAGAGGGAAAAGCAGGCTCCCTGATGAGTTGGGAGCCTGATGTAGGGCTCAATTGCAGGATCCCAGGATTACAACCTGAGCTAAAGGCACTTAACCAACTGAGCCACCCAGGAGCCCCACAAAATAGATTTTTAATAGTGAAAATTATACATCGTCAACACGAAGTGTTTTTAAAATATTTTTATTATCTATCATATCTGAAAATGACTTCATGAAGGAGAATGCTGTTTATCTGTTCAGAACTATTAATTCGCCTAAATTTTCTCACTGCATTTCAATATACCTAACAGATAAGTTACTAGGTTTAAACAGCCCTCAGATCTCATAATCTTACCCTTCACTGAGAGGGACTTACAATCTCAGTCCAGGCAAAAGAAAAAAGAAAGATAAAGAATAAGTGACAAAAGATGGAAAGGAAGAAGTAAAGTGACAGAAAGAGGAAGTGTGAAAGGTAGAAAAATGCCCAGACTTCTGAAAGTTAGTCCTAGTCTCTCTAAGTAGGTCTAGTGATCATCACTGGGCTGTTATAAGGTTCATATAATAAACTACAAAAGGGCTTCCTAAAAGTTACTTTCTCCTTGACTGGTAACTTCAAATAAATAAATAAATAACAAACAAACAGATAAATAAAGGTCTCGAAGTAGTCACTTTTTAGAAGAAACAAAACAAGGATTAGGGTCCATCAAAAAGCTCTGTTTCATCTGTAATATTTGCAATTTATAAGAAGAAAATACTCATGTATAATTTTTGTAACTAAAAAATTAACAACCTGTACTGGTCAGATATATGAAAAAGGATTGTAGATGAATGGTTTTGAATAGCCCACAAAATTATACTAAACCTGCCATGTACCTTCAAAAGCATAGGCATACTTCCTTATAAACAAGGATGACTGGACTGTCATTCTTGGCTTTCCTACTGTGATTTCAATCTTTTCACCAAGAAAGTACCACAAACAAAAACAAGTGACAATAAAGGAACACCATGAACCCATTTTATGTTATCATAATTTTCTTTTATCTTTAATATTAAAAAATCAGTGTATTATGTATAATCTTAGTTTTAAATCTTTTTTATACAAATTATCCACTATGAGGTCAAAGTGTGTTTACTAATTCTACAATAAATTGTTTAAGCTTTTTACTAAGTCTGTAAATAAGCACTGTGATTACCACAGTAATTCTTTAAAAACTACTGGGAATTGTGTACAATAAATTCCATTATGTTTTGTTTTTATGTAGGCTCCATGCTGGGTGGAGACCCCAATGTGAGCTTGAATTCATGACCCTGAGATCAAGACCTGAGCCAAAATTAAGAGGTGGATGCTTTAATTAAATGACTGAGCCACCCTGGCGCCCCTGTATCACTATTATTTTTAATCTTACCGATTTTTTTGGAATGGTCGAGGCATATTCACAGCAGCAGCATTTGTTTTATAAGATCCTGGTGCATTAAAGCCATTCACAAAACTACCATTGGGAAAGGGAGCCTAAAAGAAAAGGTAATGTTTAAAAACAATTAATGAAGAGGGCAAAACCTAGTGTGAAGGCTTTAAGAAACTCCTGATGAACTAACCTAGCATCAAATTTTTAAAGATTTTTTATTTGTAAGTAATTTCTACACCCAACATGAGGCTTGAACTCAGGACCCTGAACTCAAGAATTGCATGCTCCACTGAGCCAGCCAGGATCCCCCTCAATTTCTTTTACAAGGCAAAATTAATTTTAAGCATTTTACTTACTTACTTTTATAATACTCACTGCAAATATCAAGGAATCATTAGGTCATTACTTAATAAAGTACATTCTCTCTGAAAAATTTTAACTGAAAGCATTTTAAACTAATCAGGATTTACACAATTTCTTATTTTAATTCGTTCAGCAAAATCTAAAGCATAAAATTATAGGAATCAATAGCTCAAGTCTTAGTCACATGGTGATTAGATACCATTATCACTACTTAAAAGCCAGAAAGAAACCAGTTATCAACACAAAACAAAAAATAAACTACTCTAACTAATTTCTTCAAATTTCAGCTTGAGTGAAAAATTTTATAATTCTTTAAGGATCTCACTTACCAGTGGTGTTTCAAAGTAAGGTGCAGGATTTGGTGACCAAGACTGAGGCACAATACTATAGACCGAGTACTGTTGGTGAGGATTATATACAGGCTGCATAAAAACTGGTGAGGCATACTGTGCTTGAGTTTGAATGGGCTGACTATACATACTAGAATCCATTAATCGATAACCATTCTTAGCAAAAAATGTATTGATGGCTTTTATCCTTGCCTAGAAGCAAAAGGAACACATTATAATGAGGAATAAGTGTGTATTTTCACAAATATACTTAATTTACATTTTAAACATGTTTTACACGATTATGTTATTCTGCCTGCTATACAGTCAGTAGAGCAAAAGGAAATGATTGATAGCTTTAAACTATTTTAAAAAACTTTTGCAAGGCTAATACAACAATAACAAAGTAAAACCACAAAAGTCAAATTGTAAAACTAACTGCAACTTATCAAAGACAAGGGGGCTAATAATCCTAACATACACATTCTAAAAACAGAGATCAAAAAAATGTGTTGGAGAAGTGAACAGAGTTCACAAAGAAAGGCAAATGGCTCTGAGGCTTATGATAAGATGCTAAACCTTGCTTACTAAGAGAAATGCAATTAAAATGGAATTAACATTTCTCACAGGACTGGCAAAAAATCCAAAAATTTGACAACATACTTTGTTGATAAGGTTGTGGCAAAATATACTGCTGATGGGAATGTAGAATAGCACAACCCTTATAAACAAAAACTTAGCAATATCTCCCAAAAATCATATATGCATTTACCATATTCTCATCAATCCCACTTCAAGGAATCTTTTCCAAATACACTGAACAAAAAGATGTTAAAAAAAAAAGGGGGATACACACAGCTGTTCACTGACACTAACTGTAATAGGAAGGGGGAAAGAACTACCCCCAATACACACACACACACACAATCTTAATAGTCCACCAATGGTTGAATACACTATATTACATCCACACAATTAAGTATCACGCAGATGTAAAAATAACTGAGGAATCGCTCTAAGTATTATTATGGAGTGACTTCCAGAATATATTATTGTTTTTAAAAAAAGAGGTAAAGCAAGGAGAATATGTATAAGTAAGCTATTATTTAGCTAAGTCAGATAGCAAGAGAAGATATACCTGCATTCGCACATATATATATATATATATATAATATATATATATGAGTATGTATTTAATATACCACTTTATTTTTTTTCCAAAAAATTTATTTATTTGACAGAGAGAGAGAGAGAGAGAGATTGAGAAAGAGAGAGTACAAGCAAGGGGAGCAGCAGCATCCCCATGGAGCAGGGAGCCTGACGTGGGGCTCAATCCCAGGACTCTGGTATCATGGAGCCGAAGGCAGACACTTAACCAACTGAGCCACCCAGGTGCCCCTAACACCCTGTTTTAGATATTCTACTTTAAAACAACACACACACTGGGCGCCTGGGTGGCTCAGTGGGTTAAGCCCTCTGCCTTCTATTCAGGTCATGATCTCAGTGTCCTGAGATCTAGACCCACATTGGGCTGCTCTGCTCAGCAGGGAGCCTGCTTCCTGCCCCCACCCAGCCTGCCTCTCTGCCTACTTGTGATCTCTGTGTGTCAAATAAATAAAATTGCAAACAAACAAACAAACAAAAAAAAAACAAAACACATATTGAAAATAAAATTTAAAAAATCAATTTTTTATTGATTACAATTTTTTATTACAAATGCTTGTAAAAGCTAAAAGCAAAATTAACCTAAATGTGCATCTGTGTTATATTAGTAATGTAACAACAACAACAACAACAAAAACCTCAAGTGATTTTGAGCCATAATAAAATCAACTGTTATGGGCGCCTGGGTGGCTCAGTGGGTTAAGCCGCTGCCTTCGGCTCAGGTCATGATCTCAGGGTCCTGGGATCGAGTCCCGCATCGGGCTCTCTGCTCAGCAGGGAGCCTGCTTCCCTTCCTCTCTCTCTGCCTGCCTCTCTGCCTACTTGTGATCTCTGTCTGTCAAATAAATAAATAAAAATATAAAAAAAAAATAAAAAAAAAAATAAAATCAACTGTTATGAATGTTCCTTAGGAATAAATTACAAGGCAAAGTACAGCAAAAAAAGTTTCTTGTTTCCAAAATTATATTCCTATTGGTATTGTTATTCTGATACTTTTGTGTATGATTATGGGAGAAAGCAATCAGTAATTACAGTAAGGTCACTGAGATCTGAGATTTTTCACATGGGAGAAGACATGGATGTGAGACCGAAGAAGTGAAAATCATGTAGCATGAATTTAAATTGGAAGCCTCGGGATGCCTGGGTGGCTCAGTTGGTTAAGCAGCTGCCTTCAGCTCAGGTCATGATCCCGGCGTCCTGGGATCGAGTCCCACATTGGGCTCCTTGCTCTGCGGGGAGCCTGCTTCTCCCTCTGCCTCTGCCTGCCATTCTGTCTGCCTGTGCTCGCTCGCTCTCTCTCTCTCATAAATAAATAAAATCTTAAAAAAAAAAAAAAAGATGATTTAAAAAAAAAATAAAAATAAATTGGAAGCCTCAGTATAAACTCATGAAATATTTTTGTTAAAAACAAACAAACACATATTTCATAGCTCTGTTCAATGAAAGGCTTTTAAACAACAACCATACCAATAACTCCAAGAACTCCTGTGCCTAGCTAGTGGACTGCAAAGTATGACCTCCCCATAAAAGTAAAGTAGGGACTCTGGAGATTTGACTGACCCCAGGCCTTTGACACAAAATACACAAAACACTAGGAACATCTTGTCACACTAGAGAGCAAGCAAACCACTGAAAATTACCAAGGCTGTGACAAAAGGTCTTCTAAGTTAACTCAAAGAGGCCACAATTCATCAATAAGGACAACAAACACACCAAATATGTTTAAATACCCAACAAAAAATATCCTTGGTCATTTTTGAAAGTTCCTAGGGAACCAACACATTATTTTCAAAAACTCATAATAAAAGCTAGAACCAAGCATTTATCATGTATTCTATATATGAGCTGTACCTCAAAGTAATAAAGATGATGCTAAGCTCCCCTTTATAGAAGTCTTTCAATGAATAAATGGGAAAAAACAAAGACAGAAAATAACACCTCTTTGTAGCCTCTAATTAACAGATTAAGTCAATGATCAGTAGCACCTAGCATAAAAGAGAGATAGATACAAAAACAGACAGGCTTTTCTCTCTCTGCTGCTCCCAAATCAAACTAAATTTTGATCAAGCCTCTAAATCTAGCTACCAATTTGCATGAAGTACAGGAAACAGAGGATCATACTAAACTACACTAAAAAAAAATATAATTAGCCAATTCAAAAATAGGCAAAGGACTTAAATAGACACTTCTTCAAAGACGATATATAAGGAAATACTGCAATATGCTACACATGGATAAACCTAAGACATTATGTTAAGTGACATAAAACAGTCACAAATAAACAAATGTACGATTTCATTTATATGAACTAATTAGAGTAGTCAAAAATCATAGACTAAAAGAATAATGGAGGTTGCCAGGGGCTAGAAGGAGGAGAGAATGCAGGAGTTATTGTTTAATAGGTACAGAATTTCAATTTTACAGGATTAAGAAAGTCAACATGGATGGTGGTGAATGTGTTTAGTACAACTGTATTATATACTTAAAGATCGTAAATTTTATATACATGTATTTTAACACAATAAAAACTATAACTAGCAAAATGTATGAGAAACTCCATAAAACTTAGTTTTTTCGGGGCGCCTGGGTGGCTCAGTGGGTTAAAGCCTCTGCCTTCGGCTCATGATCCCAGGGTCCTGGGATTGAGCCCCACGTCAGGCTCCCTGCTCCATGGGGATGCTGCTGCTCCCCTTGCTTGTACTCTCTCTTTCTCAATCTCTCTCTCTCTCTCTCTGTCAAATAAATAAATTTTTTGGAAAAAAAATAAAGTGGTATATTAAATACATACTCATATATATATATATATATATACACACACATATATATATGTGCGAATGCAGGTATATCTTCTCTTGCTATCTGACTTAGCTAAATAATAGCTTACTTATACATATTCTCCTTGCTTTACCTCTTTTTTTAAAAACAATAATATATTCTGGAAGTCTCTGCTCAGTGGGGAGCCTGCTTCCTCCTCTCTCTCTGCCTACTTGTGATCTCTGTCAAATAAATAAATAAAATCTTAAAAAAAAAACAAAACTTAGTTATTTCAACATGCTTTCAAAAGAAAAAACAAATAAGAATGAAAACTACAGATAAAAACAAAGAAAAAAGACAAAAAAAACAAGAATCAGGAAAATGTGATATTGTAACTATGATTTTTTAAAAAAATCCCCCTTTCAGAGCTATAAAAACTAGTTTATTTACAGATAAAATTAAGTATAAAATTTGCTTCAAAATAATTGGGGGCATGGAGAAATGGGTGGGAATATGGATGAAGCAAGACTGGTCAAAATCATGCACAGAAATCAGTTACATGGGGGGTGGGAACAAGATGGCGGGGAAGTAGGAGGAGGCGCCTTTTCAACCTGTATCCTAAAGTGAGATGTACCAAAGAACTCCGATCACCCATGAAATCAGCCCGAGATCAGAATTATACACATCTGGATCCCTACAGGGGCAGAAGACACCAGTGGGCAGGTACAGCGGAGTGGGAAAGGCGGACTGATATCGGAAGATAAACAAAAGGGGGAGGGAGCCACCAGAGGTGACCGGTTGGAAAGTAATATCCTAATACCAGCGAGAGTCCCCTGAGTCTGGGGACCAGCATTAACTTGGAGACTGGTTGAAAGCACTCCAAAAGAGCAAAAGATCGCCCGGGCGGGGGTGGGGGGGATTGTGGGAATCGGGCTGGCTAGGGACAGGGGCTTAAGTCCCCGGTCCCAGGACAGCCTCCCCTGGCGCTGAGCCAGAGAGAGTGCGGCGGAGAAACCAGGTCTTGGTCCCTGAGCCGCCAGCGCGCCGGATATTGCGTGGGTTTTGGCCCGTGAGGGGATGGGAGCCACGCCCGACGGCAGAACGCACGAGCCCTGCTACAGAGCCTGAGATGTGCGCGCCCCGTCCTCCCCTGAGAGAGGTACAAAAGCCCAGCCGGCGCTCTTTGACACGGGCCATTGTTTCAGAGCCTAAGACGCACGCGCCCCAAACTCTCCCCTGAGAGAGGTGCGCGAAGGCCCAGCCTGGTGCTTTCGGACCTGTGGACCGTTCTCAGA